TGGTCCAATTTTTTTCTTTTATTTTCCTTTTCTTCTCTCTACTTCTTTTTAACGCAATTACCTTTGGCGAGACGAAGGGTGGGATCAGGTCCCTATTAACAGTGAGCTAGATAAGGGTTTCTTGAAGTAAGGATTTCCGCGAAAAAAGGAAGAAGAAAAAAGGCTTATTTATAAAAAATTGAATATATTTTTTTTCTCTTCTAACAACTGGTAATTGGAGATTCTTAAACTTCTGAATAAGGCCTTCGAAGAACAACAACTAAAATAATAAACTAGGATATGGAGTTTTTTTTTTTCTCTCTCTTTCGGGGGAAACTGACATTTTTCTGTTAATTCCGTGATCTTGAATGGGATATTATTATTATTATTGTTATCATTATTATTATTATTATCATTATTATTTTTATTATTATTATTATTATTATTATTATTATTATTAGTATTAGTATTAGTATTATTTTACATTCTCGTTATCCTTGTTACGCATTTGATTGTGTGAGATATGAGGGGATTTCTATAATGAATGACTCTGCTATCATATTAATATCCTATTACTTTATCTACATATCATCTTCTTACACTATTAATCTTAATGTTCTTAACTAACAATGAGCACCATCTATATCACTGTTATTTTAACTATCTATTATCATTAGCATTAGAGACTATCGCTTTCATAATCAACATTACCGTTAAGAATTATTATTGATAACAGTATCAATAGTCCTTATATGCTTTTTCTTCATATCATTAGCCGATGTATCGTCGTGCTCCGTTTTCTATGCCTCGGGGGGTATCTCGGCCAAGAATAATTGGTTGTTAGTAATGAGCTAAATATTTTTTTCTGTACAACATGAGTAACTTTTTGATGGAAAAAAACACATATGATCTGTTGTGTGTTTTGTTGTGTTTGTGTGTGTGTTGTGTGTGTTGTGTGTGTGTGTGGTGTGTGTGTGTGTGTGTTGTGTGTGTGTGTGTGTGTGTGTGTGTGTGTGTGTGTGTTGTGTGTATGTTGTGTGTGTGTGTGTTTTCATATACCTGCCTGCTTGGTGCATCTGCATGCAAGACTTCGCAACCATAACATAATTGAATAACTTTTTTTTTTTGCGATGCTCGGTGAGCGCTCATAATTTGCATCCCATAATTACTAACGTTGCACAGAACTAATCATTCTTTTTCTCTCTGTCTCTCTCTCTCTCTCCCTCGCTCTCTCTCTCTCACTCTCTCTCTTTCCATTTATTTGTCAAGAATTCATGAATGACAAATTGTTCCTAGATTTGCATATCCTGATTAATGTTACAAGCACTTAGGAGGGAAACAAGAAAGAAAGACAGACAGGCGGACACATAGATGGGTAGATATAAAGGCAAATAAACTCAAAGACGAACACACCCGCACATACACATACATACACTCACACACACACACACCTACACACACAGCGAGAGAGAGAAAAAGATAGAGAGGTAGAGAGACAGAGAGACAGAGAGACAAAGAGGAGAGAGAAGAGAAGAGAAAGAGAGAGAGAGAGAGAGAGAGAGAGAGAGAGAGAGAGAGAGAGAGAGAGAGAGAGAGGAGAGAGAGAGAGAGAGAGAGAGAGAGAGAGAGAGGAGGGATGAGAGAGAGGTAGGGGAGGGGAGGGAGGAGGAGGGGGAGGGAGGGAGAGGAGGGGAGGGAGGGAGGGAGGAGGAGGGAGGGAGGGAGGGAGGGAGGGAGAGAGAGAGAGTGAGAGAGAGAGAAGAGAGAGAGAGAGAGAGAGAGAGAGAGAGAGAGAGAAAGAAAGAAAGAAAGAAAGAGAGACAGACAGACAGACAGAGAGAGGATAGAGACAGAGACAGAACATACAGACAGACAAAAACAGAGGGAAGGGAAGCACCTAAAAGGCCCCTCCTGACGGAGCAGTGACGCGCTAACACCAGCATCCCCTGGACAGCGTCGGTAAAAGTGTAATCTTAGGATTGATCGTCTTAAGGGCAGTCAGTGGCGCTGGAGACATATAGGGGGGGGGGGAGAAGGGGGGGAGAGGGGGAGGAGGAGGTTGTCGAAGCGAGCATGTGCGGGGTGGAGGAAAGGTAGGGGGAGTAGGGGGGAGTGGGGAAAGGTAGGGGAGGAGGAGAGGTTGAAGCGTGTGCCGGGGTGGCGAGGAAAGGTAGGGGGTAGGGAGGTAGGGAGGTTAGGGGGAGGAGGAGGAGGTTTGAAGCGTGTGTGCGGGGTGGGGAAAAGTAGGGGTAGGTGGGGGGTAGGGAGGTAGGGGGAGGAGGAGGAGGTTGAAGCGTGTGGCGGGGGTGGGGGAAGATAGGGGGTGGGGGTGGGGAAATGGGGGGGTGAGGGTTTTTTTTGTGGGATGGAGAGTGAAAAGGGGAAAAGGTGGGAGAAAAGGGACGGGCGGATGGAGCGAAGGTGTAACTGAAGTTTTGTCTTTTGTTATATTGAGTAACCTGTTTGCGCGAGTTCTGGATTCAGTTCAGCCACTCACTCTTCTCTCTCTCCCTCTCTTCCTCTCTTCTCCTCTCTCCTTTCTCTCTCCTCTCTCTCTTTCTCCCTCCCTCTCTCTCCTTCTCCTCCCTCTCTCTCTTCTCCCTCCCTCTCTCTCCTTCTCCCTCCCTCTCTCTCCTTTCTCCCTCCCCTCTCCCTTCTCCCTCCTCCCTCATCCCTTCCCTCCTTCCCTCCCTACCTATCTCTATGCATGAATCTCATTACGAGGCAAGATTCTCATTGCATAAGCTTTTTGGCATCATGGAGCATGTTGAAAGGAATCCGAAATATTAGACTAATTGGCAAAATCAACTATTGTTTACGCAATGTCTATCGTTTCGGCTTTATTTGAAGATTACATGTATAATCAAAAAAAAAATTTAGTTAAAAAATGTGCAGTCATGCAGTGTTCTTAGTGAGTGAGTGAGTGAGTGAGTGAACGTGAATTAGTAAGTAAGTAAGTGAAAGTTGCGTGAGTGAGTGGATTAGTAGTGAGTTGATGTGAGTGAGTGAGTGAGTGAGTGAGTGGAGGAGATGAAAAGTGAGTGAGTGAGTGAAGTGAATGCGTGAGTGAGTAGTGAAGGTGATGAGCGAGTGAGGGAAGTGAATTAATAAAAAAAGCCAAAACTTGCCCGGAATAACATTAAAAAGTAACGCGATGAATATACTACGTTCATCTTCAAAGCCCGAACACGTATATACAATTCTTTCACCTCTGTATCGCATTAACTTAATTCTTCAAAAATCCACTTCAATAAAAAAGACCCATTTTCAACACTCAAAAACCTAAAACAAAACAATTATAGTGAACATCTACATAAACGGTACACTATCACACGTTAATTTCTTCAAAAATCCAAAACTTTGATAAAATAGACCCATTTTCTACACTCAAAAACCGAAAACAAAACAATTATACCGAACAACCGCATAGACGGCACAATATCATCAATAACAATAACATTTCCAAAATCAGTCAAACCCAATTAATTTTATAATTTCGTTTATCAAAGAATGGAAGTGTAATAATTTGACCGTAATGACTTTCCAATATGGATTGGTGATGTCTGAAAACATTTCAAGTTTAACGGAGATATAGAGAAATTCATTTGTATTTAGATATTGTGGGGAGAGAGAGAGAGAGAAGAAGAGAGAGAGAGCGAGATGAGAGAGAGAGAGAGAGAGAGAGAGAGAGAGAGAGAGAGAGAGAGAGAGAAGAGAGGAGAGATGAGAGAGAGAGGAGAGAGAGAGAGAGAGAGATAGGGGAAGAGGAAAAGAGCGAAAAGAGACGAAAAGAAGAAAAAAGAAAAAAGAACAGAAAATATCAAATTAAAGAATAAATGAAAAAAAGAGGCGAGGAGAAAGGGAGACAGAGAGAAAAAAATATATACCCCTTCACCACCAAAAGAGAAATAATAATATTGATGATAATAACAATAATAAGAATAAGAATAAGAACAACCATAATAATAATAAATGTTAAGCGATGCAGTTACAAGCTCCATCTCTCTGACCTGGAAATTACCTCACGAAAAAAAAAAAAATCCACTGTTGTTCTGAAAACCCGTGTTTTGTGCCGATTTTTTCGCTCAGATTTTCCCCTTACTTCCGGTTAATTCGCAGATTTTGGATTTTGATGTGACTGGTGTTTGAAACTGAGAGGCAATTATGAATGTTTTTTTTCTGCTATTATTCTGTTAAACTGACTTTTCTTATTATTAACTTTGAGAAGAAGGACATTGTTGTGTGTGTGGTGTGTGTGTGTTGTGTGTGTGTGTGTGTGTGCGTGTGTGTGTGTGGTGCTGTTGTGTCGTGTTGTGCGTGTGCGTGTGCGTGTGCGGTGCTCGTGTGGCGTGTGCGTGTGCGCTGTGTCGCGGTGGTTCGCGTCGCGTGCGTGTGCGTGTGCGTGTCGTGTGCGTGATGCGTTGGCGTATTGGCGTGTGCGTGGTGTGTGTTCGTATGCGGTGTGTGTACGTGTGCCTGAGTGGCATTGTGCGCCGCGTATTGCCTGTGCCATGAGCGTCGCGTGTTCGTTGCGTGAATTACCCGTTTGAAAAAAAAAAAAAAAAAAAAAACATATGAAGATTACCAACATCAGCAGCCACAGCAGATGTCCTCAAGTCTCCAGTCTGTCAAAACACACTAACTCCGACATCATTACCTTCGGGATTACTGCCAATCATCGCCCACCATCTTTCATCGCGGAAACAAAATCCAAAAAATGTTGGAAAGGGAAAGAGAAAAAGGGGAGGGGGAGAGAGGGGGAGGGAGGGAGAGGGAGGGAGAGGGAGAGGGGAGAGAGGGAGAGAGGAGAGAGAGAGAGAGATGAGAGAGAGATGAGAGAGAGAGAGAGAGAGAGAGAGAGAGAGAGAGGAACGAGGACATTGAGACAAAAGAGAGGAGCCAAAGACAAAAAACACAGACAGACAGATAGACACATAAAACAAGGAAAAAAACAAAACAAAACAAAAAAAAAAAAAAAAAAAAACACACACACAGACGAAACATTACGCGTTCAAACTCACCTGTGAATCCTTTGATGTCGCGAAAAGGATGGAACATTCTCGTAGCGATGAATGTAGATCTTGTGGAACTGCGACGGCTGGAAACTCGCCCCGCTCGTCCTCCCTCGCGATGTCTCGTATCATCTCAAGGGCCACGAACCGGGGTAGCACTGCGGCAGAGGGAGAGGAAGGGGAAGGGGAGGGTTAGAGCGGGTGGTGCAGTATAGGGACAGTATAAGTACACACACACACACACACACACACACACACACACACACACACACACACCACACACACACACATATATATATATATATATATATATATATATATATATATATATATATATATATATATATATATATATATTTTCACCTGGATGGCGAGTTCGAACCTGAAGAAAAAAGTAGATTCTCTATCAAATCTGCTTTGGAATGCTCTTACACGTTACAGTTTGTGTATTTTGACTTAGAAGGGCTTTTAATAATTTCGCTAGGAATATGAAGGGGAAAGAGGCTAGAAAGACCAGCTATTAGAGGAGGTGTGGTGGTGAAAGGTAGCCATTGAGTGAGCCTTTTCGGTCGTTTAGCTCAATCTTCTTGCAGATTTTGCCGAGTGTGCAACAGCGATTCGCTCATCTTTTTAATAAATTACAAATCTACTGTACACTGTTATTCCTTGTTAGCACGAATAGTACCAACCGTTCTAAGGAAACTCGTTGTAAAAGATAGTTAATAATGAGGGAGTTTACTTGTTAGCTCGTTAGTAACCCCAAAGACACTGCAGGGGGATGAGGTGGAGCCGTTCTTGTGAATGAATTCAATTTCCTGATATTTGAGAGGAAAAACAAACAAAGACTGAAAAGTTGTTGGCCGTTTGCAAACCTCGTTTGTCTTGTGCATTGTAATTCCATGTAATACTGTATCTGAGAACAGCATAATGTGTTTCTTTTCGGATTTCCATGTTTCTCCGACGTTTTCAGAAATATATCCATTATCATTCTCAGTTGTGGCAGTTACTCGAAATGGCTGCACGTGTTACATAAAATCATAGTCAACTGCATGCATAATATATTTCCTGAAACAAGCAAGTGTGCAGTTAGGAAGAGGGCTGCTACTGTACCTGCGGTGGAAATGGATTAGCCAAATGCAGCCAGCGCTTTCTGCTTTCAAAGAGAGAGGGTGTGTATGTATGAGAGGGTGTGGGATTGTTTACCGTTTTCCTTTTGATGATGACTTATTCGTAAAACAATGAACGAATATTTACTTATACACATATATGTAATATATATATATATATATATATATATATATATATAATATATATATATATATATACTTATACAATATATATATATATATATTATACATATAATATATATATACATATATATATATATACATATATATATCTATCTCTATCTATCTATCTATATACATATATAATATATATATATATATATATATATATATATATATATATAAACACACGCGCAAGTACACAGCCAATATGGAGTTCTTTCGTATGACAAGCGATTAAGTCGCAAAGTGGTTGTTCCTTGAAAATATCAGAATTCAATTTCTTCCCTTCAAAAGAGGCAAAATCGAAATTTCCACCGCTTCGAGTTCCAGCCATAGGCACCCGGCGACTCTATTAAAACACTCTAAAAGCAGATTTGAAATATGGCCAAAAATAGGGACGAGGGGGAGGGGGGGGGGCAGAGCCGGGACGGGGCAAATATTTTAAGCACGTGCGGCCGGGGGATGCCACAGAACTAATGGCATTGACTCGTCCCTGCATACAAAGATAGGGGCGGGGCGGCGAGGGGAAAGGAGGATGCAAGGGGAAGGGGAAGTGAGGGGTAGAGGGAAAGAAATTGGGGGAGGGAAAGGGATGCAAGGGAAGAGGAAGTGAGGGAAGAGAAAGAAATGGGGGAGGGAGATGCAAGGGAAAGGGGAGTGGGAAGAAGGGGTAGAAGTGAAGAAATGGGGGAGGGATACAAAGGATTGAAGAGAAAGGGAAAAGAGGGAAGAGAGGTGAGGGGAAGGGAGGGGGAGAGTAAGAGAAGAGGGGAGAGGGAAGGGGAAGAGGTGAAGAGGAGGGGATAAGGTAAAAATAGGGAAGAACAAAAAAGGGTGATAAAGGAAAAACGAGAGAAAAAAAGAAAGAGAAAGAGGGAGACGGAGAAAGGGAAAGAGGAATGAATAAGAACAGTCGAGAAAATCAGGAAATGTGAAAAGTGACACATGGATTATGCGCACATGTGTGTGTGTGTATGTATATCTCTGTATATGTCAGCCTATGTTCCTACTATAATCCTTTACCTCGCGCATTAAAACTCCATTAAATTACCCAAAGCAAAATACCTTTAACATAAAATTTTCGATAACACCCTTCTACTTTACACCATCCCGTGTTTACCAAGCCGGCGAAAATTTTCCCCCGCTATAACACACAGCAAACACCCCCGTGAACCGAAACATAATAGTTTTCAATTCTCTTTTTGTGGTATTTATCCTCTTCTATTGCTCCGTTTTCTCGGTTTATTACCCTATCCTTCTATACACTTCCTTTCTGCCTTTTTTATTGTTTTTGAGTTTCATTCCCTCGCTTTATTAATCTTTGATGTACCGACACCTAAATATTGAAATCTCTTTATTACGCGAATGCAGCTGTCGTGACCTCAATTCCTTATTAACTTCTATGGCAATATAGCTCTTACGTCATAATGGCAACGCACTGGGCTCGCTGAGGCCATTTCTTTACCTGTTAATATTATGAAATATCTCCGCTCTGATTAGAAAATAAATCAAGAAAGAAAGAATGGTACTTTCTTAGAATTGTATCTATTGGTATTTATGCTTTCCATGTATTTTCTTATCATTCATCTTCCTAATATTTTTTTTTTTTTTTTTTACGTATCCTTCTTTATTTTTCTTCTTCTCTTTTTTTCTCTCTTTTCTTCATCTTTTTCTTCCTTCCCCTCTTTTCTTCTTTCTTCCTCTTCTCTGTTTTCTTTATCTTTTTCTGATTCTTATGCTGCTGCTGCATCTGCTTCGCTTTCTTTTCTTTCTTCTTCTTTTTCGTCTTTTTCTTCTGCTTATGGCTCTGTTTTGTCTTCCTTTTTTCATCTTCTTTTATATTTTTTTCTCTTTTCCTTTTCTTTTTCTATTTTTTCTTTTTGCTTCTGCTTCTATTTCTGCCTCTTCTTCGTCTTCTTATTATTCCTCTCTTCTTTTTCTTCATCTTCTTCTTCTTCTACTACTTCTTCGTCTTTCTCTTTTTCATTTTCTTCTTCTTCTTATATATATGCATATATATACAAATAAATTAATATATATATTATATATATATATATATATATATTATATATATATAATATACATATGCATACATATATACAGATATACATACATACATAGAAAGATCTAGTACATATACACATAATTAAATAAATACCAATCTGATACCTCGTTTTCGTTTTATTCAATATCTAGCACCTATTTAATAAACGCTAGACACTAAGCACATTTATTTTCTGATTCAGTTGCAGAATTGTATTATTCATATTTCGCTAGAGGAGATTTTGTTTATTATAGATATAAGTGGATTTTTGTGTGATAAATTAATATTTTCGAGAGAATATTCGATTAGCTAATAGAACAGATTGATAGATATTCATTCACATACATGCATGCATATGTACACAAACAAACACACAAATACATACATAATATACAAACACGTATTCACATACACATACACACACACACATTCAATCCTTGATTACCTCTACCATCCTTCTCCAACCAAACGAACCCCCCAAAAAAAGAAAAAAAAATCATTCTCCTCCCTCAATAAATTACACCCTATTCTCCCCCCCAACAACATCCTCCTCTCCCTCCCCCACCAAACACCTCCCCCAAACATCCCTTGCCCCCCCCCTCCATAAATCATAACCAACCCCCTCCCTACCCTTCCCCACCCCCAACCCCCGTTCTTCCCCTCAAAGCGGTCTTAATTACTGGCCCATAACAAGGTGCAGATTCAACACGACACCTCTCGCGACATCCGGTAATGAGGCCGTCATCTCCCGGGCCTCAGCAACCTCGCCCCATCTCTGTTAATGATGCTTAATTCAATTATATCCTGACAAGGTGCTTCCCATAGGCCTACAATTGCCTCCTACTCTCTGGCGGTTAATAAGCCTAGCAGGTTCTGGAAATCATTTAAATGTTTTGCGTCGATTTATCACATTTCTATTATCCTTCGCTTTGTCATTATCACTATAATCATCCGCATTTGAATTTTCCTTGCCGTTATCATTATGAATATGATAATAATTATTATGGCATTCTGTTCCACATATCTATCCCGTCATTGCAGTAAATTGATATGAATTATGAGAAGGCAATAACAAATATTTAAAAAAACAAACTAATGCAATGAATTTCCCTTCAAAAAAAAAAAAAAAAAAAAAAAAAAAAAAAAAAAATATATATATATATATATATATATATATATATATATATATATATATATATATATATATATCACTTATTATCTATCCGTTTTTCGTTATTGTCTATCTTTTCCTTTTTCTTTCGTCATTATCGTAGTTCCCCCCCCCCCCCCTCTCTCTCTCTCTCTCTCTCTCTCTCTCTCTCTCTCTCTCTCTCTCTCTCTCTCTCTCTCTCTCTCTCTCTCTCTCTCTCTCTCTCTCTCTCTCTCAATCCTCATATATTTCTGTCTGAATCGATTCTAGTCCTGCAACTATTAATTCTAATTTTCGGCTTTGCAATACTGCAATGGTTAAATATTACCCTCCCTGTCAAATGAAAATTGCACCTTTATTGTTATTAGCAACACGCCCTTTAATGCTGATATAAGCCAACATAATATCTATTTAAAAGCGATTACTTTTTATTCCATCCATTTATTTTCATTGATTCTACATCCCCTACATTGATAGTATTGCTTTGTTTATATTGGTTATTCAAATTATATTTCCAAATTTGATGGCTTATAACATGTTAGGTACTCTATAAACACTTCACATACCGAGGTAGTTTATTGGATGTTAGCTCGAAAGAATGTCAATCTCGCTTGTAAACACTTATATATACATATATATATGTATGTATGTATGTATGTATGTATTATGTATGTA